GGGCTTTAAGCCAGGATAAGGAAACTTGATGTATACATTGATCATACAAAGATAATGTACAGTGCACCAATGTTCAGGCCCACAAATGCTTAATTACAGACTTATTGCCCTTTGTTAGAATTTGGTGTCAGCAGCATAACTTTGCCTGATGATTTATATGAGCTGGTCAAAAAATAGATTTTTATATTTTGGCATTAATATATTAAAAAAAAGATAAAAAAAACCATTAAAATGAGCTAAAAATTATCAGGATAGGACCATCATTGCTGGCACAGTGTCCATTTCAATTCCAATCATTTTTACAAGAATGTATTTATTTTTATAAAATTTATGATGTGTTATTTACGACATTGTGACGTCATCAAATTTCACAATGTAAGCAATGATTTTCGAACATCATTGTCTCTAGTTAATTGATTTATCATAAAATCAGTGAACTATACTACCAGTAGTAAAATATGTGTATTAATATTTAATATCATTTATGTGTGGACATTTGTGTACAGTTCAAAATATATGTATCTAACTAGTGATATGTTTTTTTCCTAAAACCTAAAATCTGAAAAAGTTTCATGTACTCTTAACAGAGTGAAATACAATTTACAATAATTGTCAAATACATTGAGAGTACCGCTGATTAACTTTGTGCATGATGGCAATTTTTTTATTGAACAAAAGTATATCAGATGAAAACATTGAACAAATTATGTTTTTTTTGAAACTTTTGATTGCCAATACACAAACTGGAAATCTAAAACAAATACAAAACATAAAGTTTCAATTTGTGATTCTATTATAATTGTTTGATCACATTCCACATTCTCTGATTATAAGTAATATATCATACATCAGCACAACAGTACAACATAACAGAAAGGTTCCTGGTGGACTTCCCTAATTGAAGCAACGATGTATGTTTCTAAAGAAGATGGGTTATGCTAATTAATCTGTAAAATGTCCTGCAAAAAAAATGTGGCATTATTGTAAAGGTTAGGGTACAATATGCTACAAGTATACGTCACAGTCAAGGTGATCTTGTAGCCATAGGCTTATAACAGATTGAAGAGCAGATAATCAAGTAATGCTTAAAACAAAAGACACTAAATGCATCAGTTTTATTCATGTACAGGACACAATATCCATTGGGAGGGCTGCTATGTATTTTGGAGTTACTCTTTTTCCATCACAGAATGGGAACACAGTACAACCTGGGCTGACTGTCTCATAAAATCTTGAATCCTCTCAGCTAAGTACTGGGCTCTCCCAAATGAGGAGCCACTAGTTTGACTTGGCTCGGCAGATCAGTTGGAAAAGACGTTCCTGTCTTTAACAGACTACAGTCAATGGACCACCCACACACTTCCTGACTGATACCTCACCTAAAATTGAAGATGATTCAAACAAAAAAATTGATTTGAAAGTTTGAAAAAAATAACTGAAATTTTTATCCTTTATTTAATTTTCATGGTTTTTAAAGCTGAAAGGTGTGTGGAGGGACTATTTATTTGTTTGGTTCTGTAATGTAATGTAACAATAATCCAGACATTCATTCATTTTAGCTTGACAAACAATGGTTGCCTCCCTTGTCTTGATTATATTGTTATCAAATTGGTTGTAAATTAATGCTTTTGGATCATTTAAATGATACATGATGTGTTCTGATTTGATCAGACAATTAAGACAATGTTAGGTATGTTGATGTCAATCCAGTTAACTTGCAACACTTTTGTATTAATATCAACAAATATTTCTTTATGTCTGCTGATTATCCACTGTGCTGTCACCTGTTGTAGTGTACACATATATGCAAATATACATTACATCAGGGATGTCTTGTGGAAAAAATAATGATGCATATTCAGTACATGTTGTTTTACCAACTAATTGTCCCCCAAAAAATAAAATAATTGAAAGCAGATTTCACAGTAAACATGCTACATTGTAGTTTAAATTAAGCAATAACCACAATTAGCATATTTCTCACGAAGTTGAATCGGGATGAAAGGTAGGGAAAAATCAAAGCATTGATGTTGTGGTATTTCCTCATTAACTCCCTTTTTATTGACTATTCTGTAAGGGTTTTTCTCAGCAACTGGCAATTTTGCCTGTATGAAAACTAAGATAATTAAACTAAATGTATACATTGATCATACTAAGAGGATGTGCAGTGGACAAAATTCAGGGCCCACAACTCTTTGATTAAAAGAGTTACTGCCCTTTGTTAGAAATATCTTTTCCAGAGCATAATTTTCCTTACATTTAAACTGGGATAATGAAACCAAATGTATTCATTGATCATTCTAAGAGGATGTGCAGGGTACAAAATTCAGGGCCCATAACTCCTTCATTACAGAGTTATTGCCCTTTGTTCAAATATCTTGCCCATCATGTAAGCTAAGATAATGAAACTTGGTGAATACATTGATAATACACAAATAATGTGCAGTGCACCAATGTTTGGGCCCCCAAACACTTAATTGCAGAGTTATTGCCCTTTGTTAAATTTATGTGTCTTCAGCATAACTTGGCCCGGTGATTTATGTATAAGTCATACTAAGAAAATGTGCAGTATATTAAATTAATATCATCATTGCTTTTATCACAATTTTGTGACGTGAGCGTTAACTTTGCTTGCATTAAAACTAGGATAATGAACCTTGATGGATACATTGATCATACTGAGAGGATGTACAGTGTACTGAATTCAGTGCCTGAATCCCATTGATTTTCTGTCCAATAAAGTCCTTTTCACAGAGCATTCATGAGCTTCACTAATACTCTTTATTTAAAATGGAAATTAAATTGATTTAAATATTTCAATTGGGTATTTAACCCATATGTTGAAAAAGGTCATTTCATTGTTACAGTAGCAGAAACAGGGCTTTTTTTTCTTTAACCTTTAAAAATAGCCAACTTCAGTGAGAGAAATGAAATATCTACAACAGATCTTGTTTGGTAAGCTGCATTCAATATCAATGAAATGGTATTTTGTACCTGATTCCTGTTATCCCACAAATATTTGACACATAAACCTGTTTACCTCCAACCTAAGGTCCATACAGGTAGGTGTTATATACTCTAGATTTGTTTATAGGTCACGTATAAGTAATGAAATATCCCAGTGAAGTGATAAGTTACCCTAATTATCATTAGTAGACGATGACTGAAATGCTTTAACTCAAAAGCTAATGAATAATGAAGACTTCAGCTATAGTACTCCATCAGGGTGACAGGTACTGATGGTTATATACAACTTATTTCACACATGTAGTATATATCTATGTGATATACGTTATAGTTTACTTTAATATTACAGTGATATCGTCACTAATTATTTCCCAACCTACAATTTACAGTGATAGGAATTGTGTTTTACTTATCAAAGCTAATAAGATATCATCATTTTATTAAACCTGTTTACCTCCAACCTCATGTAGGGATACTACAGTATCTGTCAGGTGTCAACTTTACTCTGTGTTGCAACTGTTCATGAAAGAATGAGCAGATTTTAATCAAATATGGTCTGAAACATCCTGGGGAAAGTGGAACCAATTTTGTGTAAATGGTGGGTCTGGCCACCCGGGGCCTGAGGGGCAGGGGCCCAGTAGAGAAAATCTATCAATTTCTTTGAAATCTGTCTTGTTCTTCAGGAATTGCAGGATATTGTTTATGGGTTTCTGCCCTATGGGCCAGATTGCCAGGGCCCAACAGGGAAAACCTAACCCCCCAATTAGATTTAATTCATTTTATATCATTGCTTTGAATCAACCATCAACAACTGATTTGGATCTTTGGTTCTTTGAAACAATTGTGATCCCCACTGAATAACTATAGCATTGCTGAGCATCAGGAGATAAACACAATAGATAAACACAATCATACATGATCATTTTTCCTGGGGTCTGGTCCCACTCCAGGACAAATTATATCTTTGAAGCCATTGAGATTACCATCCCATAACTTAATAACATTGCTGGACATCAAGAGATTAACAACTGATCTCTGCATGTCCACACCTTTAGGGAATATGCAGCTGTATCTGTGGGATGAGGCTCATCAGGGGAAATAATTTCCTTCTAAAGAAATGTAAATTTTTCCATTATTGACTTAAATATCCAGGTGAGCGATACAGGCCCTCTGGGCCTCTTGTTTCAAATTGCTGTTTTGTTAGATTTAAAATTCAATATCACCTTTAGATTGATTTAGTTTTTTGCAAGAAATATCTAATCCATTATGAGCATGTGTATGAGACTTAATAGTTTTGAAAATGAAGATAAGTTTAAATTTGCTTAAATGTGCTGTTGCCAAACATTGTATTTATCTTAGAAATGAAATATATGTACATTACCTAAAATACATATTTTGCCTTTATTTTAGTTTTGTGTGTATGAATGAATATGAAAATACAAAAATTGTTGACTGATGAATTAAACATGCTGAAAACAAAAACAGAATTACATTAAATTAGCATTTGTCTCAAGTAATTTATCTGCCTTATATGGAATAAACCGAGTTAATGTGAAAAATTTTAATTTCAAATGTTTACTAAAAGGCTATTATTGTATTATTACCAGGTACTTAATCTATAATGAATTAATCATACTAACTTGTTTACCTGTTTACTGTTTACCTGTGATCATATAACTCTCTCTGTAGACAAACTAATTAAGTAGCACAACAATATGAAAATTTCACATAAATACTGAACAGTGCATTCTTGTACTAAATGGAGATCAAATATGTGAGAAAGTTTATTCTTAAAAATTTGGTTGCTGTTTGAAAAACTAAACAAAAACTTGACAATCTATATTTCATGTCTGTTCCGGGAATTGAACCCAAAACACCTAAGTGAAAGATGAGTGCATTAGCACTGAGCCACTTGTTCATCCACGTTAAATTGGATGTGGGGACATTAATGTTTTACAGACATTTTGTAACAAAACAAAAATCATTGGTTATCCTATAAACATTCATTAGATAAACATTCTTTGTCTTTTCAGATTTTTCTGATTTGGACACTGAACGCCTTTTAGTCGATATCCACCAAAATGACCGAGTAACATCAAAGACCATGCTGATAAACATTGGCCAGGATTCCTGCGTGTCTGGATCTTCATTATCACAAGCTCCATCACCACAATCTGCCTTGTCTTACTCGTCTTCAACATCATCTTCATCTCCAGTTCCCTCTCCATCACCATCATCAGAACTTGGCAGCCTGAACATTTTCTCCCTGACTAGGGCACGTCCTAGTTCCACCTCTTTAGTAAGTACTGACCTTATCTTCATTTCCCCTCACACCTCTGCCCTCTTCAACCCCCTCTCTCCTGACCTGTGTCTTCATTTCCCCTCACACCTCTGCCCTCTTCAACCCCTTCTCTCCTGATCTTTGTCTTCATTTCCCCTTTCACCTCTGCCCTTTCTTATCCTTCCCTCCTGATCTTTGTCTTCATTTCCCCCTCACACCTCTGCCCTCTTCAACCCCCTCTCTCTTGATCTTTGTCTTCATTTCCCCTTACACCTCTGCCCTTTCTTATCCTTCCCTCCTGATCTTTGTCTTCATTTCCCCTTACACCTCTGCCCTTTCTTATCCTTCCCTCCTGATCTGTGTCTTCATTTCCCCCTCACACCTCTGCCCTCTTCAACCCCCTCTCTCTTGATCTTTGTCTTCATTTCCCCTTACACAACTGCCCTTTCTTATCCTTCCCTCCTGATCTTTGTCTTCATTTCCCCCTCACACCTCTGCCCTCTTCAACCCCGTCTCTCCTGATCTGTGTCTTCATTTCCCCTCACACCTCTGCCCTCTTCAACTCCCTCTCTCTTGATCTTTGTCTTCATTTCCCCTTACACCTCTGCCCTTTCTTATCCTTCCCTCCTGATCTTTGTCTTCATTTCCCCTTACACCTCTGCCCTTTCTTATCCTTCCCTCCTGATCTGTGTCTTCATTTCCCCCTCACACCTCTGCCCTCTTCAACCCCCTCTCTCTTGATCTTTGTCTTCATTTCCCCTTACACAACTGCCCTTTCTTATCCTTCCCTCCTGATCTTTGTCTTCATTTCCCCCTCACACCTCTGCCCTCTTCAACCCCGTCTCTCCTGATCTGTGTCTTCATTTCCCCTCACACCTCTGCCCTCTTCAACCCCCTCTCTCCTTATCTTTGTCTTCATTTCCCTGTGTCCAAACATCTGCCTCTCCGACCCCCTCTCTAACCTGGAATTTCATTGATATACATATATGTACACATGTATGCAGCATGTGTATGTGACTGATTTTTTTTGGATACAAATTGTGGTTTGAAGCTTTATTACACAGTTATGTTGTGAAGACCAAATTTAAGGAAGACATATTCTCAAAGAATTAGGTGATATGGCTGTAATTCTGCCTGTCCACAGTTGTTGTTTAGGGAGACAGAATGTTATCAGTGCTAGCTGACTTCACTGAAGTACTTCAAATAAACGTAGCTCCAAATTTTGGCCTTTTATGTCATTTCATAAATCTTTGTGTGTTTGGCCAGACAGCCAGCTAGATTTTGCTTAGAGTAACGAATGAGTTATTGTCTCAATTGTCCAATTAAGAGTTTTTGAATCAGTGTATGATTGAGTTCATCAATCTGTTTATATATGATATTTAGTGCGAGCTCTCAACTGTCTGAAGTCCCTTAACCATTATATTCAGAACAAGCTTAAGAAAATAAGATTATTTCAAATAATTATCAAACATGTAACATACAACTTCAATATGTTCAATATGTTGATCCAGAATTCTTATTTGTTTTTATCTTTTAGTTTTATTTACTGTTTATTTAATACTACAGATGAGTGGTCAAAGTAAACAGCTGTACACGACAGAGCTTGAAGTGATTTGTCGCATCTGTGGGGACAAAGCATCCGGGTTCCACTATGGAGTGCACTCTTGTGAGGGCTGCAAGGTAAGAACTGCAGGTGTACCCAGATGTCCACTACATAGGGCTGAAAGGTAAGCACCACATGTTACCCTGATGTCCTCTATAAAGGACTGAAAGGTAAGAATTGCAGGTGTACCAAGATGTCCTCTACATAGGGATGAAAGGTAAGAACTGCATATGCACCCTTATGTCCGCTATACAAGCTGCAAGGTAAAAACTGCAGGTGTACCAAGATGTCCTGTACACGTGGCTGAAAGATAAGGACCACAGGTATACTCAGATGTCCCATACACGTGGCTGAAAGATAAGAACCACAGGTGTTACCTGGTGTACTCGACACATGGCCGAAGGATAAGGACTCCTAATGTTTTCTCTAATGTACTCTGATATTAGCCATAGATGGCTGAAAAATAAAGACCACCACACTAATGAAGAGCCAATATAACAAAAAAATTTCATAAGAAAAAGAAAACATTTTGTGGGATAAAACAATGTTTCAAAAAGATCACTTACAGGTGAATTTTGTATGCTTGTTTGCAATTATTGAGAAGGTAAGCGGTCAGACTCTCTTTTTTAGCCCACCATCTGATGATGATGGGCTATTCAAGTCGCCCTACATCATGGTCAGTAGACTGTCGTTGGGTCGTCCATCCATTTGTCTTTCTCAAATTTCATATGTAGGTTTCCCTTGGTTCCTAGTGATGCCTATTTGATTTTGAGTCTACTGTTGTTTGTTTATTGTTATTGCTATTTCCTGAGAAATGCCAAATGGATCTCTCTCAAGTTTTATTTATAGATTCACCTTGATCCCTTGTTATGACAGTTTGTTTTTGGGACTGATGAAACAAAGAAAATGGCCAACAGGTGGCCATCTTGGATTTCACCTAGTAAAGTTGGTTATTGACTTTTAAAGTTTATCATCACTATTTCTTGATAACTACAGTAAAGATATTTATCAAATTTCTTGTGTAGGTTTCTTTTGTTCCCTGGTTGTGTCCATTTGATTTTGGGACTGAACAGAAAAACAATTTGATTTTGACTTTGCAATATTGTTATCACCATTTCTTGAGAAGAACCAAATGGATCTTTCTTAAATGTCATATGTAGGTTCCCCTTTGTCCTTAGTTGTGCCATTCTATTATTAGCACTATTTCTGCGAAGGATGATCAAATTTCTTATCATTAAGAGCAGAGAAGAGAAAAAAAGAAAAAGATTCAGCCTTCAAAGAACAAATAGAGATCAAACAATGGTGGGTGCCAAGATCCCTCTGGTATCTCTTGTTACTGAAGCCCTCCACCTGTTATGCCTACGTGGAGCAGTCACCATTTTGGCCGTTTTTTCCAGGAACTCTGGCTTTCATCAGTGCGGCTGAACCTGACACGTACTTAAATGACCCTGCTGGTAATAGCTGAGACATACAGCTACAATCAACTAAACAGACTGTTGTACTCGTGTAGTTTAATGTGATCAAGTGATGTGATATTTTATGATTACAGGGGTTCTTCAGACGGACGTTAAAGAAGAAATTGACATATGAAGCATGCAAAAACGGCAAACAGTGCAAGTTAGACACAGCGTCTCGGAACAAATGTCAAGCCTGCCGCTTTCAGAGATGTCTCAATGCTGGCATGTCACCCAATGGTAAACCTCATTATGACACAATTCAGAAAAAAAGATGTCTGTGACCTTTAACCCTTTAATGTCTTTTTATAGGTTATTGAAGGACGCTGTATAATCATCAGTTTTTCGTTGGGGTCTTCAGTTTTTTTGGAGTTGTGGTTGTCCCTAATTCACAATTGTATATTTCCACAAAATGTATGTATATAAATTGACATTGATAATAAGAAAGGTGGATTTTGTTAGTGATATTTGCTTAATATCCATGAACTCAAGTGCCAGTTTTTAAAACTACAAAATTAGACCGCAAAAAAATTGTATGTATTCATACATATGTATATATTGAAGAATTATTCATATACTTGTGATATACAACTCATACAGACCTTTATGAGAATTGGAGAGGGGGGGGGGAGTGGTTAAGGCATTTAGACATCTTTATTACTAGCCCTCCACATAAAGGCTTACATAAGGCTGTTCCCATAACTGGATGTAGATCCATGGTTTTTCTCTGGAAACTATCCTACACCACCTAACCCTAGAACAGCTTTGACCTGGTCTACCTGTTAACTAGAACGTAAAGCAACAATGAACTTAGAATTTAGGTGAATTTTAAGTGTGTAACCCATACCTATTTCCATAATAAGCCAACTTTATACGAAATAAGTCAACCACTTTAACATTAACATATACATATATATCAGACTAGAACAAGTATTGAAAAGCTAATTGACAATTATATCATAATTCATTGCTAGTAAGACTCGTTACAAAAAACATGAATTCATTCTGGTATCAGTAATTAATTCAATTTTGAACTCAAGGTCAAATTTTTGCACAACTAGGTCTTTCAGTACCTCATGAAGACAGCTTGACCCATAAAAGTTGACATGACATGATTAGAAACCCTCATTATTTTTTTCTTGTTGAATAAATGCATGTCTATAAATGTATAAAAAGCTTTGTTAAGATATTGTGATTAATACAATAATTTGACGTGCTTCTAATGTTTAGGCAGAATTTTATAAATTCTTGTGAACATTAACTCTTGTACATGTACAGTTGAAACTCTTTATCTTGAACTCAAGGGACCGTAGAAAACATTTCAACTTATCCAAATTTCGACTTACAAATATATATTATTTATATGTATAAATAAGGTTGACAATAGCAGTATCCTTAAGTCGATTACAGTTGAACGAAGTAGGGCTACGATAGCAGGCAAACAGCGTTGTTTAATCTGTTATTTGAAATGGCAGTAAATAACAAATAAATTGATTTCTACTTTCTTCTTTTTCTCCTGTTAATTTATCCAAACAACAAAACATATAACAACAACTCCAATCAAATACATTCGTACTCGTGTTGTTCCATCCCACACACGTGTACAATACCCTTACTGACCAAGCACATATGCATATGTTTTACAGAATGACAATAATATGAAATTAAAATTTGTTTTTGATCCAGTACAAGAAACGATGCATGAAGCTACAGATCGTGTTAATATGACTTTGTTGTAAATAAATAAACATATGTAAAACGCGGCCCTAGAAAGCTTTTACCCATTACAGAAAACATTGTACAAGCACTAGACTTAACAAATACGCACAGATATAGTCTCTCAATGAAAAATACTTTCAGCACTTCATATTGTTCGAACAATGAATTGGACAAAGTGCTCGATCACAGTCCTATAAGTAAACAAGCTAGATCAAAATCAGCTTCTCTTTGAAATGTGGGAATCAGATTTTGTCAAAAAGTTTGTACAGGTTTGACAGTTTCGTTTTTATCATTCCTGAAGATGCATGCAACCAAGCTAAATATTTTCTTGTTTTGTGTAAACACACTACTTTTTCAATGAACAGGTAAGTCACTGTCACAGGATGGTGACACTAATTCAGAAGCCAACATTTAATTGGATAATTAAACTGGTAATTAAACACCAGAGACCAAGTGTTGTGTGTACGAAGGACCAATACGCGGTAATTAGTCATGCGTTATGCACAGGTGACTTTCTATTCTGTGTATGTATTGACTAATTTAATCAGAAGACGTGCCGATGTTTTGACAAAAACTAATTTCGAGACAATGAATGACTTTTTTCCTTGCTTTACATTTGAAAGGACTGCAAAATTGCTTTGACTTAACCAAAATTGTGTTTCAATGAAATTTCAGCCATCCGAAACTAAAATTACCAAGATATAAAAGCAAAGAAATCAGGATTTGAAAATTATTTTACTCAAAAGGATTTTCTACTCAAGCGATTTCAAGACATATTCTAAATATCATATCTATAGCATATCCATCCTTAAAAATAGAACTTAAAATCTGAACTTGCCACTCAAATCGGGGGATGGGCTTATTACAGGACAACTTCAGTAAATGTTAATGCAGGGCAAACTATTTTCGGATATGAGCATATAACTTGCACTGGCAGATAGATATAATAAACCTTTAAGAAATTTAAATTTTCCAGAAAATGTTAAAATGATATATATATAAATGTAGTATGTAAAGAATGCGATAACAAAGTCAACATCTTTCTTGAACTAGTGCTTTCATCTCTTCAGAGGCTCGTCAGTTTTTTTTAATTGGTATTGTGATAACGTCATAATTGACATGATATCATTTTGAGCAAGACACAAATAAACATTGCGGCATGATTTTATCGTGTCCTGTTTAACGATAGCAGCCAACAAAAGAACCCGTTTTGGTAAAAAGTGTTATATCTGACACTTTGTAAGGTTACTAGGAGATATGTTACACATTTTTTGAAAAGTGTAAACTGTCATGACTCTTTGCGAAATCACAAATGGCAGGTTACACCTTTTTCTTTCCCAAATTAAACATTTGGAAGGAGGTAACTAAGGGGTGAGTGGATGTCGGAAGAGCTGAGAGTAATGTCTTACTAATGATAAAGAGTGACACTGATTTATTGTAAATGTCGTTGGTAGATGTTCCAAATGTTACATTAGGATGGAACCTTTACTTAGAGGACAACCATACAAAGTTGTAATATAATATGCAAGTTTAATTGTCAGGTTGTACATGAACAACTTCATATTCTATGTATACCATGTTTACGGGTTATTAACCGCTCTTGTATGTAAGTCACAGAGTGAATTTTTACCGATTTTTTTTCTATTTGATCCACATATAAGCCACACTGGAATATAAGCCGCACCCTTTCTTACGATATGGTGACCACTATTGTTGACGTTTGATATAACGGTAACAGATAACGGGAGGCAGTTCTGACGATGTGGTAACCGTTATGTTGACCTAGATCATTGATATAACAGACAATTGAGGACACATATAGTCAGTAAAACATTTAATAAAGTTTGCAAATGAAATGTACACAGATAATCCTTTATTTTATTGAAGTAGTTAAAAAAACTTAGCAAATATCAAACTTGGTAGCTTTAACAGATTGTCTACACACAGATATAGGGCCTGATGTTACGTATAGTTTACTAAACAATCTCTCCACCGCTGTCTGTACTGTTCAATATTAACGAAGGCCCTTGCATGCTGACCAAATTCTTATAATCCCATTTTATTTCTTCTGGTAAGTTACACAAAGCCATTCATATCATAAAGAAGCATGATGGTCATTCTAGAATTTGACCTATAACTCAATGACCTATTGACCCCAAGATGCAAACGGTAGTGGTAACTTCTGCTGCGGCTTTGAAGTAACCGCAAAAGTCCTGAAGATATTATTTTCATTCACATTAAAAGGTATGAGAGATTATATTGCTCATAAGATATTCCTCTCAGCCTGAATTATGCAGTCCAACTCCCCACTTAGTAACCTTCTGCCAAATGTTTATTTTGTGAAAGTAAAAAATGTAAACTGTCAGCATATGATTTGACAAAGTGTCATGACAGTTTTTACAAAATATGGAAACTGTCTCCTAGTAAATTAAGGAAGTGTCAGACAAAACACTTTTTATTTATGAAAGTGTATCATCAACCACTATCAACCATCATACTGATTAAACATGGTTTTATAAATAACACCTTCCTTTCCAAAGTGGAGGAGTTCAAAATAGAATGCCTCATGGTGTGAGTTTGTGTGGTGGAGTGGGTGGGTTGTGTTTTTGTGTAGAATGCCTCATGGTGTGAGTTTGTGTGGTGGAGCGGGTGGGTTGTGTTTTTGTGTAGAATGCCTTATGGTGTGAGTTTGTGTGGTGGAGCGGGTGGGTTGTGTTTTTGTGTAGAATGCCTCATGGTGTGAGTTTGTGTGGTGGAGCGCGTGGGTTGGGTCAATGTGAATTGTCTCAACATGTCTTCATCAAAAATCTATATACCACAGAACTGTCAATGTTTTGATATCACTTACAATAGTAATCCTCACTAGGTGAAGAATGTAAAGCAGGCCAGACAAATATTGTATGTAAAGGGTCAAAACTAGCTGTTTATAAGACTTCCACAGGCTGGAGATTGTTGGTTACAATGTTGCAGATTTGTGTTATACAACTTCACTTATTTTGAATTGTGCTTAGAAAAAAATGGGGGAAAAAATGAAGAAATCTATTTTAGAAAAGTCTCCAGTTTGTAATTGTAATTGGAAGATGTCAAAGTGACTTAGATAAACTGGATGTTCCAGTCTAAAGCTGGAGATTTGATAGTGGAGGTTGTCAAAGTGACTTAGATAAACTGGATGTTCCAGTCTAAAGCTGGAGATTTGATAGTGGAGGTTGTCAAAGTGACTTAGATAAACTGGATGTTCCAGTCTAAAGCTGGAGATTTGATAGTGGAGGTTGTCAAAGTGACATAGATAAACTGGATGTTCCAGTCTAAAGCTGGAGATTTGATAGTGGAGGTTGTCAAAGTGACTTAGATAAACTGGATGTTCCAGTCTAAAGCTGGAGATTTGATAGTGGAGGTTGTCAAAGTGACATAGATAAACTGGATGTTCCAGTCTAAAGCTGGAGATTTGATAGTGGAGGTTGTCAAAGTGACATAGATAAACTGGATGTTCCAGTCTAAAGCTGGAGATTTGATAGTGGAGG